AATAACTTGCTTGCCCAAAGGGCTTGTTGTATGAATTACTATAATACTAAAAACTTGCAGGGATTTTGTTTACTTTTACTATTGTCAATGATTTTCAGAGGTGAACCGGAAAGAGTTTTTTTTTGCTAATTAATAATTTATTAAATTAAACATATTTAAAAATTAATAATTACATACTTTTCATTTTCAGATATGTTCATAATTAGAATTCGCTACTTTACGTTTCAAGATATTTTTTCCTGATTTAAACCCAAATTTTGCTTTATTGCGCTAATCATAAAAATTAACTTTATTTAGATTTTAATATATTTAATATAAAAAATTTCATTGCTAATATATGATAGACTTTATCTTAATAAGAAGATTGTTATGGTTGTTATTAGACTCGTTATTATCATCGGTTTGATCAGTAGTAGCGGCGGCTACTGGAGAAACAAGAAGTGAAGAATTATCTGCAAGAGGCTCGTCATTATTGTTATTATCATTGTTATGATTAGTAGTAGCGGCGGCTACTAAAGAAGCAAGAGATAGAGGATTATCAGCGAGAGAGTTATCATCGTTATTATCAGTAGTAGCGGCAGCTACTGAAAAAGCAAGAGGTAGAGGATTATCAGCGAGAGGGTTATCATCATTATTATCAGTAGTAGCAGCGGCTACTGGAGATAAAGAATCATCAGCGAGATGCTTGTTATTATTGTTATTATTATCGTTATGATCGGAGACTTCTGAAATTTTATTAACGTTGCTACCCATTCCAATATGCTGTTAATTAAAGATAATAATTATTATAATTAATATATATTAATATATAATTGTATTAATATATCAGAGGTGTGGTGGCTTAGTGAAGTGGTCAAGTCGTCACCCTCTCCAAGTAGCAGGTCTAGGGTTCAAATCCTACGGATGACAAAATTTTAAAAAATAGGTTTGCGTTATGGTAACGGATCTTCATTAAGTTGGGGCTTAGATTAACCTGTAACTTCAGGTCACACCAATGCTCTGTA